GTTACTTCTAGGAACTGACTTCAAATGTCAAGAGTCAGGAGCATGAAATAGGCCCTGTAAGACTCTGGTAAACACATCGCTCCAGTTCCATGTGAGTAGCATAGAGTTTAAAACATGAGCATGTAAAGAGTGGCTGTTAGCATGTCATAGGAGTTAAAATGAATGAGCCAGAGCTATTCTTATCTGTATGAATTTCAAAATGAAGGTTAGTTAAAAATTGCCAGATGTGTCACCCAGAATAATACCTTTACATAGCAGTTACAGCATTGGGCACACGCACGTGCGTGCAGATACACACACACATACACACACACACACACAGTATCTGAAGTTAGTGTGCACAATGTTAGTATTTGACATACCTGTATGTCATGTGTATGTGGTTGGGAAATAATCATACTTCTCAAACCTCTGTATATCTGAGCTATCATAATACAAGTTTACTGTCCCTTTTCCAAAATGCTAAGACTAAAAGTGTTTCAGATTTGGGCTTTTGTTTTTGTTTTTCTCTTTGGTATCTATCTGTGGATATTTTAGGGATGAACCCAAATCTCAACGCTAGCTTCATTTATGTTTCCTGTGTACATTATGTACTCAAGTAAGTTTACGTATTTTAAGATATTTTTAAAAAATAAATTTATTAGTTTTATGTGTGTGTGTTTGTATCCCTGTATGAGTTCACAAGTACCATGGGCACTCAGGAGCTCATGGAGAGTGTCAGATACCCTAAAACTGGAGTTAGAGTTTTGAGTTGCCAGGTACACACGTGTGCTGAGAACCAAATCTGTAAGAGCAGTAAGCAATGACACTGAGTCAGCTCTCCAGCTCCCAGGTTTAACCATTGAACCATCTCTAGCACCCAGCTTTATATATTTTTAATGTATCTGATTTAATTTTTCTTTTTTTTTTTGATATTTGGTCATGTTCTGTAGCTCAGGCTTACGCTGAACTCAGAATTCTCCCACATGGGTCTCCTGAGTGCCCCTGGGATTATAGGGATGTGTTCCCATACCTGGTCTGTTCCTGTGTTTTGACTGAGACCATCACATAAGGTTTGATGGAGAATTTTCCGCATGTAGCACCATCTCTTGTTCCCTGGCTTTAAGAATTATGTGAATTTCAGATTTTTGGGTTTGGGGTACTCAATCTTTATTTTAAAATATTAGGAGATGCCTATCTGGATATACTTATAGCTATTGCTGCCTTTGATTTTCTTGCTGTTTGGTATCTTTCTGTCAGATCTATATTCCTTGGCTCAGGACTAGGTCTGTAGGCTTGTTATCTTTGTTCATCCTCTACAAGACGGCGTCTCTGAACACCAGCTGTCCACTGGGTGTGATAAGACAGACTTCAGGTTCTTGTTGAGGGACATTTCCTAAAACTGATCTAGATCTCAAGCCCGGAATTGGACTGAACTGGCTTTATCGTGCTAGTTGAGTTAGTAGATATGGTCCATATTTGAAGAGTTGAGAGCTCCCATTTCCTTTTGGTCCCCAAATCCTAAGACCAGAAGAAGCAGCATTCTCCTGGGATTTAAAGATGGTAGTGAATTCCGTATTGGCCTTGATTTCCTTCCCTCATTAGCTTCATTAGCTAGTCTTTCACTGAGTACTTTAGCAGTAGTAGGTGTGGAAAATATCAATTTCACAGAAGTTTCTGGAAATGACAGTAGAGATTCCTGTGGTGAGATAATATAAAGTACAGGTGGACACACATCTGGCCCAGACCTTAGCCCATGTAGGCACAGCCCAGGGGAAAAAAAGCCTTTGAAGAGATGCACTCTGCAGTCTTAGAACGGTGAGCATGCTGCAAGCATAGAGGCTCCTGCAAGCATAGGAGAGAGACCCTTCTGCTTTTATTAGTCTGTGAGTCAAGTCTCCAAGATGTGTTTGTGTCCCCACCTAAATTCTCTTTGCTGACTTGGGGGGAGGGGTGTATTTCAGCTTACAATTGTCGTTCATCTTGAGGTAAGCTCACTTTGAAAGCAGAGGTGATTTTTCTGTTTTCTTGTTTCCATTTCTTTGCTGCTTGCAGAGATACTGCCTTAGCTTTAAATGTTTCAGTGTATGGCTAAAGACTGGGCTTTTCATTTTCCTGTGAAAGCTTTCATTTAAAAAAATTCTACGGGCTGGAGAGATGGCTCAGTGGTTAAGAGCATTGCCTGTTCTTCCCAAGGTCCTGAGTTCAGTTCCCAGCAACCACATGGTGGCTCACAACCATCTGTAATGGGGTCTGGTGCCCTCTTCTGGCCTGCAGATATACACACAGACAGGATATTGTATACATAATAAATAAATAAATAAATAAATAAATAAATAAAAAATTCTACCTCAGGAATTAATGGTAGCGATGTAATTTCTTTTTAAAGCAGCTGGTTCTGCAAAAGCTGGGAAGACACATTTATGCTGTTATAAACATACTTTGTGTATGTGAAAAATATTCACTCAAGTTTGTGTGCCTTGATTCTGAACTCCCTACAGAGAATGTATTTTGTGTGTCTTGTTTGCTTATGTGGAGTCAGATTAAAGGTTGATTTTCCAACCTTGGCTTTTCTGTCTAAGCTGAGCAGTTGGAAGGCACGAAGCTGCACAGAACTCCACAGTCCTCAGCTGTGAACAGGCCCTGCTTTGTTGATGGCCCTTCACTGTGTCAGGGGATGGTGACCAGTGCCAACTGCAACTCTACGAGAGGCCATCCCTTGAGTGCATAGTTGTCTGGAGACCACTTGGTGTTTATAGAACTGTGGTCAGGCTGAACCAGGCTTACTGTAGGTCTTGCTCTGGAGAACTTCTGTCATCTGACTAGACATCTGATTGCACTGTAATTTGTACCTGAGCATGTCTCTGTTGGTAGAGTTTGTGAGGCCCTGGAGGAGCTTCGGTTGGAGATCCCTACCCCGGGAAGGGGTGATCAGCCATATCACACACTTTGTCCCTGCCTTCCTGAACACAGAATGGAGCCAGGAGTGGGCAGGTGCGAGGTTTTTATTTCTACACCTAACCTAGGAGTGTATTCCTGGAAAGACTTTATTTAACAGCCTTCCTTGACTACCACTTGTGAGAGCACTTGGCCTTGGCTTTGGATCAAATGTCACTAGTGGTCCATAGCTAGAAATCAGAATCCATTTGTAATATGAATGCTGCCTTGCCCAGGCTTCGAAGGCTTGTGTGGGTTGGCCTCTGCTTCTCCCCCCCCCCCCCAGAAGCAATAGCAGGAATGGAGTGTTGGGCCTTGGTTCTACACATCCTGAAGTGACAGTTGTTGTGAGCAGTCCAGTTCTTCCTCAAGGGCCTCCTCAGAATGAGGCAGAGAAAGGGTTTGTGCTGTGAAGAGACCGAGTGTCCTAAAATGTGATGCTGAGGTGTTTAAACGATGTCCCTTCTTTAAAATGCCCTAATGTCTCTGAAGAGGCACATAAATCTCCCTGCCCAAGCAGCTGGTTTTTAGAGAGCCTGGACACAGTGTCCTCACCTTCCCCACCTTTCCCTCTTATCCTCCCTCCCTCCTAGTCTTTCTCATCCACACTGGAGTTCTGCTTGTTTGTTCTTTGCTGATCCTCTTCAGAGGGAGTAGACTACTTCTCCTCTCTAGCCCAGGGGACTGGGAACTGATGATAGCATTGACATGAGTTAAAAACTTAGTGAAGTGGAACTGAGCCGGGGCTATCAGCCAGGAAGGGGTGAGCCCAGTTGCCTCTGATCCTTTGGACTTTGGTCTGTAAGCAACAAGAATGGTATGCTTCAGCCTCTTGATTTGGGGTATGTTGTCTGACAAAGAGCCTAGTGACACTGCTCCCTTCTGTGAAGTCTGCAGATGTGAAATTCCAATCCTAGAATCCCATGGGCTTCCCAAGACTTGCTTTCTGTTTCCCAATATGGAAATTGTAGGCTCTGTGACTGACCCGGGCATTGCTACAGAAAGGGTGTTGTCCTGAACCAAGTTCTTGATTACTTTTCAGGATTGCAGTACCAAGGTGTTTGTCTGTGACCCTAGGGGCTTTGCTTAGGGCACTGGCAACAAAGCAGATTATGGTGTGCCGGGGGCCTTCCGGGAAAGCCTGCAGATGTGTTGGGGTTGACTGGGCTTTTTGTGGGTTTGTTTGTTTAACTAAAACCAGCCAATTTTATATTGAAGAAAAATACAAAAAATAAAAATTTTGGCCCAACATGAAAAATGAAAAGTTCTCAGATTAGTCAAAATCACATCTTAAGTATTTGGCACATGCAGCCATGCTTAGCTTTGGCATCTTTGCCACATTGCCACTACTCCCTGTAGTATCACTTCTAAACAGCACTTGTGCCCATGAGTGGTTTGAATCCTGTAGTGGGGAGGATTTAAGGGGCACCTTGAACTTGGGCCATGGTCATGGACTTTGAAGGCTACTGGTTGTAGTAAGGATCCCGCTAGTTAGTTCTCAGCCACTTAGCCCCAAAATAACCACAGAGAAGCTGTATTATTTAAATCACTGCTTGGCCCATTAGCTCAAGCTTCTTATTGACTAACTCTTACATCTTAATTTAACCTATCTCCATTAATCTATACATCACCACGAGGTCGTGGCCTACCAGCAAAGTTTCAGCACATCTGACTCTGCCAGAGGCTCCATTGCTTCTCTCTGACTCCACTCTTCTTTCTCCCAGTATTCAGTTTGGTTTTCCCTGCCTACCTAAGTTCTGCCCTGCTATAGGTCCAAAGCAGTTTCTTTATTCATTAATGGTAATCACAGCATACAGAGGGGATTCCCACATCAACTGGACATTACAAACTCCAGCTGTCCCCTGTACTCTGCCATCTGCCTGTTTGTATCTTTGGGTACTAGAAGAACTGCCCAGACTATAGGTAAAAATTGTCCATTTTTGAATAGGGGGTAAGAACATGGGTTTGCTTCTATTCTTAATTTAGTCTGAAGAAATGTAAGAAACCTTAAGTTTGTGATAGGGGTAGAAATTGTCTAGTTCCTCAGATTCTCCAGAAAGTAATTTACTTGTATGTATTGGCAGGTGGAAAGCAAGCCAGCCAAGATGGATATCTACGACACTCAGACCTTGGGGGTTGTGGTCTTTGGCGGATTTATGGTTGTTTCTGCCATCGGTATCTTCCTGGTGTCAACCTTCTCCATGAAGGAGACATCGTATGAAGAAGCACTTGCCAACCAGCGCAAGGAGATGGCAAAAACTCACCACCAGAAAGGCGAGAAGAAAAAGAAGGAGAAGACTGTGGAGAAGAAAGGAAAGACCAAGAAAAAGGAAGAAAAACCTAATGGAAAGATACCTGACCATGACCTGGATCCCAACGTGACCATCATCCTCAAGGAACCAGTGCGTGTACCTTCTATGGCTGTGGCTCCAACTTCAGTCCATTCGTCTATGGTCCATACCCCTGTAGCCACTGTACCAGCTATGCCTCAAGAAAAGCTGGCTTCCTTCCCTAAGGACAAAAAGAAGAAGGAGAAAAAAGTGGCGAAGGTTGAGCCAGCAGTCAGTTCTATTGTGAATTCCATCCAAGTTCTTGCTTCAAAGTCTGCCATCTTGGAAGCAACACCCAAGGAGGTGCCTATGGTGGCTGTACCCCCCGTGGGCTCTAAGGCCAGTGTTCCAGCCACCAGCAATCAGGGCAAGAAGGGGGAGGGAGCACAGAACCAAACCAAGAAGGGGGATGGGGCCCAGAACCAAGCCAAGAAGGGAGAGGGAGCCCAGAACCAAGCCAAGAAGGGAGAGGGAGCCCAGAACCAAACTAAGAAGGGGGATGGGGCCCAGAACCAGGCCAAGAAAGGGGGAGAAGGGGCCCAAAATCAGGGCAAAAAGGGGGAAACAAACCAAAATCAATCTAAGAAAGGTGAGGTAGGCCAGAACCAAGCCAAGAAGGGGGAAGGGGCTCAGAACCAGACCAAGAAGGGGGAAGGAGCCCAGAACCAGGGCAAGAAGGGGGAAGCAACTCAAAACCAGGGCAAAAAAGTGGAAGGAGCTCAGAACCAAGGCAAGAAGACAGAGGGAACCCCAAACCAAGGCAAGAAGGGAGAAGGTACTCAAAACCAGGCCAAAAAATTAGAAGGCTCTCCTAACCAAGGAAAAAAGGCAGAGGGGGGCCAGAACCAGGGTAAGAAAGGAGAGGGGGCCCAGAACCAGGGCAAGAAAGGAGAGGGGGCTCAGAACCAGGGTAAGAAAGGAGAGGGGGCCCAGAACCAGGGCAAGAAAGGAGAGGAGGCCCAGAACCAGGGTAAGAAAGGAGAGGGAGCTCAGAACCAGGGTAAGAAAGGAGAGGGAGCTCAGAACCAGGGTAAGAAAGGAGAAGCATCTCCCAACCAGAGCACAAAAGTTGAGGTTATACAAAACCAGGGCAGAAAGGCAGAAGGAACCCCAAATCAGGGCAAGAAGATGGAGGGGGCCCAGAACCAGGGTAAAAAGGGGGAAGGGGCCCAGAATCAGACCAAGAAGGGGGAAGGGGCCCAAAACCAGGGGAAAAAAGGGGAAGGGCCTCAAAACCAGGGCAAAAAGGCAGAAGGGGCCCAAAGTCAAAGCAAGAAAGGGGAGGGCACCCAGAATCAGGGCAAAAAGGGGGATGGAAATCCCAACCAAGGCAAGAAGGGGGAAGGGACTCCCAACCAGAGTAGAAAGACTGATGCAGTTGCTAATCAGGGCACAAAGACAGAAGGTGTCTCAAACCAAGGAAAAAAAGCAGAGGGGGGCCCCAATCAGGGCAAAAAGGTAGATGAGTCCCCCAATCATGGCAAAAAGGTAGACACAGCTGCCAATCAGGGTAAAAAGTCAGAGTCGGCTCCTGCCCAGGATAAAAATGCAGGAATGGTCCAGAGCCAGGAGGCACCAAAGCAAGAGGCTCCTGCAAAGAAGAAGTCTGGTTCAAAAAGAAAAGGTGAGCCTGGTGAGTGCCCTGACTGTCCTGTGAGCTTGAGGGAAAGCTGCTCCTCTGTGACTGGCCGGTGTTCTCAGTGCTCTGTTGATTCACTTTTCCTGTTCTCCCCAGATTGGGTACGGATGACAGACCAGGGAAACAACTCCACACAAGTCCAGCTCCATGGACTGTTGAGCTTTTGGGCTTTTATACAGGAGCAGGGGTGCTGGTTTACCTACAGGAGCATGGATAAGTCTAAGGCAGCTGTATCACCACCAAAAAGCCCACCACAGCCTCCCTGAGGGTTTAGGAAAGCTGTGCTCCTGGAGCTCTCTATCCCTGTTCGACTTGGAGGCAGCTCCACTAAAGACTCATGTCTCCCCAGTAATTGTGGTGGTCGTGTAACCTTGAGTCTTGGGACTTTCTGAGCTTTCTGATTTTTATGATCCTCAGTCCTCTACAGGAGGGATGTTTGAGTTTGGAGGATGTAGCTACATAACTGGGTGCCATCCGTGTCAGTCAGCTGCTGCTATAGTAAGGCTGTGTAACAAGCACCCCAAGTTCTACCGCCTTGTAATAGCAGTCCTTTGTCTTTGCTCCCGTGTCTGTGGTTGGCTAAGGTTGGCTGATGTAGGTCCTGTCTGCTGGGAGGCTCTGCTTCATGCTGTGTCTTAACTAGGTAGGCTCAGGGCTACTCCACATGCATGAGTTCATTTGGGGGCCTGAGCTGAAGTGCCTGTGTCTCTCTCTAGGGCAGAAGCCCTCTTAGGGTGTAGCAGACGCATAAGACATTTTGAGCAGGCACCTTCAAGCTGCATCTCATTCTTCAGGGCAAGTCATGTGAATGGTACTGAGTCCCCTCTGAGGGACTGCATGAAGCGGTGTGAGAAACAGTCTAGATAAGGGTAGTCTTGGCAGATATTCTCAAGGGTCTGCTGTGTCTTACCAGTCTGCTTTGTGTTGATGCCCCCACCTAATTTTAGCTTTATTCATTTAGTATTTTTAGGAAATAGTTTTCTTCCTATTATCCTACCATTCTTCCCTAGTTAATTAATAAAGCATTATAGAACATTAATGTAGATTCCATATTATATAGAGAGAAAATAGATAATACAGAACACTGATTTGCCTTGGTGTTTTTAGTGGGTTACAGTAACTATACAGATTCAGCCAGGGTTTAAAAAGAGGTTGAATTTGTGTGACTTGTGAAAAGCACTTTAGCAAACAGGGTTTTTTGAGGCAGTAGTTCTCCCAGGTCTCTCCTGAGGAAACTGAACTGTAGTACACAGGTGCTTAGTGGACCCGATGCCCCCAGACTGCCTGGGAGCCCTGCATCTGCTTATGCAGGCATAACACAGCTACCAGCTTCAACGGTGATGGATGTTAGGACACCAAAGAGAAGTACAGAGATGACACAGGAAAAGTAGGCTACCAGATTCTTGAAAGGTGATAACGAAAGAAGACAAAGACATTAAATATGAGATAATACAAATGAAAGCAACTTTAAAAATTAGTATTTCTTCATATTTCAGGGGATTGATTCCAAGCCCCCCCCCCGCCCTGTGTATTCCAAAATCTGCAGATGTTGAAGTCTCATAAATGGCATTATGTTTTTCATATAAGTAACTCCCTAAATCCCATATGCTTCATATCCCTTTTTTAGAAAAATTCTATTATCCACCCCCTATAGGGTTGGGGATCAAACCCAGAGCCCTTATGTTTGTTGGACAAGTTTTATACCAATGAGCTATGTTTGTAGCCTGCCTCACATACTTTACATCACCTATAGACTACCAAAGATGCCTACTACAAAGCAGATGCTGTGTAAATAGTTGTTATGTTATATTGTTTAAAGAATAATTACAAAGAAAAGAACTGCATATGTTAAGTAGAGACACATTTTTTTTTCTCTTTTTGTTTTGTTTTTTAATGTTTTTGATCCGAGGTTGGTTGGATCTGGATGGGAAGCCTATGGAGGCAAGAGTGCTGGCTGTCCCCCAGTGAGAGTCCAGTTGTTCTTTGACTTTTTTTTTTTATGCAGTGTGCTGATATTTTATTCTTCAAAAGTTGGAAGCAATCCTGAAGAAGGCATTGGCTCTTGTGGCTGTGACAGCACCCCCTGAAGTTGGAAACACCTGTGTGGAAGGCCTTCGATATCAGTCATTCACCTTGGTGCAAGGCCACATGGGACATGAATCCTAATGAGATGTTGCAGTAGATAATTTCCCATTAAAACTTTTCTTATTTGATGGCCTTTTGAAATTAGGGGCATAAAATTGGGTCTTGATATATTATCTTTAAATGCTGTATTCCTCATCCCCAAAAGAATAAAGCAGTAATGCTAACTACCAAATGCTGTAACAATCCAGAAAGAATCCTGCAGGATGGGGCAGGGGTGAAGTTGGGGGTGGAATTCCTTTCCTTGTGCTTGGCAAGCTCTCTGGATGTGGATAGTGTGTCAGGCCTCTGCAGTGGGTTGATTCCCATCAGGGACTCTGTGTTGAAAAGTAGAGCAGACTCACTCACAGAGCCATGGAGCCAAGGTGCTTCAGAGAAGCCCAGGGCTGTCACTAAGGGAGTATGGTCTCTCAGAAAGGCTGGAACTCCAGCCATGGGGTAGAGCTATAAAAGTTCAGGACAGGTGATGGGAAGCACTCATAAGCATGTGAAGGGTGTTCCTGGCTAGCACTTGGCTGTGCACTTGGTCCTAAGATTCCAGGTATTGCCCAAGTGACAGGTCTATGTGTTTAGCCCTCTGCCCCAGGATCTCTCACTATAGCACAGGCTGACCTCAAAATGATGGCCTTCTTGTCTCAGCTTCCCAAATCCTGGGATGTAGGTATGAACCGTCATGCCCGGAGTTAGCCACCTCTTTTTCCTAAATAATGAAGAGAGTGTATTGGTGAGGCTCCCCGGTGAGCTCAGAAAACTCTTATGTCCTTGGGGGCATGTGAAGGTCTGTGAGAGTTCTTGTTTTTGCTGTTCATAACTCTGTTCCCACTTAGTACCCTTAGGTAAGTGAGCCCCTACCTCGTCTCTGCGATGTCAAGACTCCCCTCAGCTTCCTGTTACACTCAGGATGTAGGGGACTTTGAGTACCTCATGCTTGCAGTGATGTGGACAGGGTGAGCATGCCTTATGTGGAGGTTGTCCATTCCACTCCATGACTGGTTTTGTGAAAGGTGATGGAGATAAAAGAATCATGTCTTCTCATTGTGTCTTTTACTGCAGTGGCCAGACCTTGTGTGGCATTGTCAGACCCAAACAGGCAAGAACGTGTTCGTGAGTTACTGTTTTTATAGTTGTACTGTATACAGCTCTGCTCTGTGCTAGGATTATCTAAGAATGACCCAGTCGGTATGGCCCCTGATGGTTGTGGGTTGAGGACAGCTTGCTGTTTGCATTTATATATACTCTCTCTGGTTCCTTGGGGCCGGGCTGCCCTTGGCTAGACCACCCATTTGGCTTTGCCTAATGGATTCTGTCACAGTCTGCTTATTCTCCAGCAAAATATATTTCCCATTCTTTCTGGTTCACGGGCTCTAAAGATATTTCTTATTCCTGTGGCCAAGATTCTCCTGATTGATGGTAGCACGGAAGGGTGACCCAACCCAAGCCATGGCTAAGCAGTGATGGGGAGAGTAAGACAAATAGCTACATAGAACCTGCAGTGTCGCACTGCCTCTGTGGGTGGGAGTCAGAGGCCCCAGGGTGGGCTCAGTAAGACGCAAGCCACTTTCCTCGTTGTGCTGTTGTTTGCAAGTACAACATGTGAATGGATGTTTATAATCTTTATGAATACATTCAGACTTGCTTCTCTTTCTTGTCTGCTCACCTGGCAACACTGTCACAGCTGCTGGACAGAGAAAACTCCAGGGAAACGGGGGGGGGGGGCAAAGTAGGGCTCTCACTTCCAACAGGGGAGGATTCTGATTTTGGGTCTCATGTGTGAAATGCCAGTACAAACAACAAAGGAATAGTACAAAGCCAGGTATCAGTGAAGTGCTTGGGATCACTGGCCATCTTGCTTCAGAAAGTAACTGCAGTGGGAACTCAGATTCACCTTGTCTGGCAATTTCTTGAACTTTGCACATGATTTTCATCACTGAACTGAAGCGTAAACTGTAGTAACTGCAAGTTGGAGCATGAAATCTAACGGTATGGATACTTACCAGAGGGTCATGGAATCGTCTTTAGTCTGGTACGTGTAGGGTACTAGAATTCGCCTGATTTAATATTGAACATTGCAGCTGGTACAGTGTTGTCAGGTGAGCAGGCATGAATGAGAAGCAGACCTGAATGTTTTCACACAGCTAGACCTGTGTTCTAATTCTTTGGTTGGTCTGTGGTTGGCCCCCGTTGGCCTACTTTTAGCCACCTTGCAACCTAGCCACAACTAAGTGTTTGTCCAGAACTGCCTTCACTCTGGGGACTACATGTGCCCAATACAAAAGAATTATGGCAGAACTGCAGGTCGGTGCTAGGTATCTGACAGGGTAGGGCTGGGCAGATGAAGTGGCCTGAGATGATGCTATGAGGATCCAGGAAATGCTTGAGGGGTGGGTCCCATCAGTGGTCTAGAACAGGCTGGGAAGGGAAGTCTTCCCACAAATGCAGGAGACCTAGACTTGGGCAGGGGATGAGGAGGATGAGGAGGACCCTTGTACCATGAGATTCAAACAGCTGACTGCAGATCTTGAGGGTTGAGAGGTGTGCTGTCCACTAAGAGCTACTGGTCACCCTAGTCATTTAAATTAGCCCAAGATAAGACTCAGTTCTTTGATCATACTTTCTGTCTTTAATGATCTGTAAGTAGTCACATGTCGCCAGTGACTGCCTTTTAGAACAGCTTAGAGATAAAATGTCACCATCAGAAAGTTTTGTTGGACACCCCTGCTGTAAGTAGCAGCCATTTATGGGGAGCTGGCCTCCCGGGTCACCTTGCAGGTAGGTATCCACATGAAGAAGACATGGCTTTGCAGCCAAGTATTGGCATCATGCGCAGTTACTCTCCTACTTGGTTCTAGCAG